GTAGCAGATCAGCAGTTTCTCACTTTTACTTTCTTTGTATCAAATGGACTGATTATTCATTCTATGTCCAAATTCATAACCTTACCCAAACATTACAACTGCTAAACTAAGCAGATGAGGAAAAACAGACTGGCAGCATCGGAAATTAGCACGATTCTAAAAACGTTGCAATCTTTGAACTAGTTTAAGATCTGGTAATTTCAAGATGGCAGTATGAGAGAAATGGTGGCATGAAAGTGGAAAGCAAAGGCTTACAAAATAGAGGAAGTGCGTTCGGTGATTCTTGAATAAAGTATTTGAAAAAGAAATTATTGAAAATCTAAAAAAAAAGGGTTTACATGGCAATGTTCTGAATGGACGCTGGCAAACAACTATAGTCCACGCCACTTTCAAGCGCCTGCTCGTGCTCTCGCGCAGAATGTAAATACGGGGAGCATTTTGAGTTAAAGTCTTAGGACAAAGGAGCTGTGACCTGTGTCACCCAAAACAGTGAATCTTGCAAATGCTTTACAACAAAAAAATACCAAATTTTTCTTTGCTTTCACTGGATTCGAATCAAAGCCTTTTTCCAGCAGCTGAGCGGTTATTTCCGAACGATTTTTCTTTTCAATGACAATATCACCGCTGATAATTTCATCCACAAAACGAACCTAAATAAAAAGTTACAAGCTACTCATACGTTGTGGCACTTTATTCTTAACTATAACTTGTGTTGTGGGTATTCCCACTTAATTCAAAAGTAAAAAAATTTTTCAAATAAATCGCAAAAATTGCTGGTCCAGAGAATAAGATTTTGAAAACTCCATAACTGCAGATCTCCTGGAACAGTTTTCCAACCTCTGCAAAACCATAATCTATAGCCCTCACATCTGTGACTGCTGAAACTCACTTAAACCATAAAATTTTGACGCATCGGGAATCAAAAAACAATATTTACCTGATTGTCGATAAACCTGAGCCTTTCGCTCATTGATAACAATTCATGCTCTCTTCTTTCCAGGTATTTCTGTCGACGTACATCAAAAAATGCCCGAAATATGTCTTCTATTGTGCTGTATTTTTGTAATACATCCTTGTCGTCGAACAAAACCTTAATATTATTTCACAATAATATGAATAAAATCGACGAAAAAAATTCGCCTATGATTCACTAGTTAGTTTTTCGTCTGAATTAGAGAAATTGGACAACTAATATTTTTAGATAAAAAGATTTTGGGATGTGTTTCTAACGATTCATGATTTCTGCAAAGTTTTTCAGAAATATAATTTGCTGAAGAAAACGAGAGCGAGAGGCCGAGTAATTATGAAGAGAATGTTAACTCCACCAAAGAGCCAAACATTGGCCTATAAAACTTGAAGGAAAACATACTGTATTAGGAAGAAAATAAGCTCAGAGCACTTCATAAATCTGTGTGTATGCAAAATTCGTGTAGAGAGAAGACGCCTCGAAACTCGGATTTTGTAGTGCAGCT